AACAGAATAGGTACGATTTCAATCTGTGAATGCTTTTGCCATTGACATTCTTGGGGGGGAAAGACAACTCGGTACCTTCTTCCTCCTTGATAAAACACCTCTGACAGTGACAGCGACATTTCTATCACCTTTTTTTTTTTGAAATTGTTTAGGCACCTTAAAATACTAATGAGAATTGGACTGTTCTCACTTGGCTGCAAGCATAGGCAGAGCATTTTTGCAGGCCACCATGTCCTGCAGGCCACAGGGAGCAATTATGACAACATCTGTGAGAACTGCCAGACTTGTACCATCTCCTTGGAAGTTGATGGAGAAGTGGTGCCTAGAGAAGCTTCAAGATGACACAAATAATGGAGAATGGGTTCCCTTCTTCCCTGCCCAGGATATATGTCTGGAGGCAAAGCTGAACCTGGTCCTTCTCCATTCTGGCTGGGGTCACACGGTGAGTCCTTGTGTGAGTGTCCTTGTGTGAGTGCCCTTGCACAGATCATGCTGGGGAGTGGGGTGGGCAGAAACCTGCAGACACCTTCCTGGAGAGTCTGGCTGTAACAGTTCCTCTTTAGGGACTTGAGTGCCCGGAGCATGACCTGCCTAATGGCTAAAAGGCTAATATCTGCTGTGTCTGATCCCCAGCTCCTGTCTCAAAGGGCTGAAATCCAATTCACCTCAAACCATCTGGAGCCCATTTCCAAATGAATAATTCCTTCAAGTCTTGTTTAATCCATTGGCAAACGGCTTCACTCTTTGGTTTGCCGTGACACAAATCCCCTCTGAGGGCCCCAAGCAGGTCAGCATGCGGGTGTATATGCCTGTGCTGAGTGTGTGTGTGATGGGGCAGCTACTTGCTGTTGACCTGAGGCATCTTCCCCTGTCCTGGAAGAGGAACAGTATCAAGGCTTAACTCCACTTGCTGCGAGCTTCCACTGTGACAACCAACCTCTGACAAAGGAGGTGTGTGCCACAGCAGTTCAGGGGATGCACAAGGTGTGTACCTCTGATAAAAATGGGAGGTCACTACCTCCAATTTTCTGCCCATCTGCAGAACTAGATGGGGGTTAATTCTCATCTGCAGCAAGGAAGATATGAAATGGATGCTGAGCCAGAAATCTGGTTTCAATAGCCTTCATAAAGTAGCTCTTTCATCTTCTGCAATGTTATATTTAAAGAAGAAAGAAGAACTTGAAGAATAGTATTAGCATAACATTACATATGATTCTTCAAATTTGCAAGTATTACTAAAAAATATTGGGGTGTCAGCATGATCCATTGTATAACATTGGTGAACAGTGAAAAAGGAGAGGAGAAACAATTTTTTTAAAGCACAAGTATCTCTCCACAATGGTAAAAACATGTTCAGTAGTCACTGCTGCATCTCCTCATGCACGTGTTTTGTTTGTAAACGTTACTGCAAAAATCTCTGTGTGGTAACAGCATGCTTGTTGCACAGGTTACCAAGATTTTTGTTCAGCATAAAAATTCATATCGTGAATACCCTTTAGGCATGAAGGTTTCCAATACATTGAAAAAAGGAATAGCAACAGCACAAACCAAACCTGCAGTACGAGCATTAGCACTTGAACTGCCTTGCCTCTAACCTGTGCATCACACAGTGGCTTTGTATGTCATAAAGACATCATCAAAGCCAAACATTCAGACAACATTTTCTGTGTTACTGGATACTGTAGGTGCTACCTGCCTCTGCAGATCAGCCTATAATGATAATTTCTCTGTGCGTGTTTCTTAATTTAAGAACAGAGGTAATAACACTGTTACAAGTGTTCTCACAGGTGCAGGACAACCTGCATCATTACATCACTCCTCTTAGCCACCAATAAACCCTGTGTAGGGTTTGATGACTTTGGGCTGTAACACCAAGAGATGCTGGGGGCCAAGGGATGCCAGCAGGTAAGATGCTCAGCACCTCCTTCAGCTCCTGACTTGCAGTGTAGCTTTCCTCACATTACTTTCACCTGGCTATGTCTGCTCTCACAGCTACTCTGCTGGTCTAGAAAAGCAAGCTCTGGTCCACTCCATTCCCCTACTCTTGGCCATGAAAACAGGTAAAACTGTGCCTGCATTCATGTCACTAGCAAAGATGCTGACAATCTTAATGTCGTCAGATCTGGAGAGAATTTATGTCCCAGATCCACAAAAGTACTTGCTTCTCAGTGACTCCAGCAGGAGATAATCCACCTCAAAACCTCTATCAATTTAGTTTTGGTTCTCCCCCTTTCCCTTGTATAAAAGCACTTGAAGCTAAAACATTAGGTTTCCATCAGACTCAAGATAGGGACAAAATTTTGAGGACTGAAAATTCTAGTTATTAGATCTGTACGTGACTTTTTTGTCTCCCCATAGCAGTGTCTGCTTTATACATTTTACTTCTCTTCATTATAACAGAGAAGACTAAAGAAAGTAATTCCCCCGGCACATAGTGTCCTTCCTTCTCAGCCTCAGCAAGTACCATCAGATTGGCCTTCTGAAACTTCAGGGAGAAAAACCTGTCATTCAGCAGCAGCAGCCTCTACACCTCCCTTCAAAAGCCTCCTGTCAGCTTCACTCCAGTGAGCTGGCAGCTGCCCAGCTGCTGGGGAGGCAGATTTGGGAAATGTATTCCAAGGGACACCTCAAACTTCATCCTCTTGTGTATACTTCTATGGTTCTCCTCCCTGCAATCCCCAGACCTCCATTTGTATTAGTACAACCACTTAAAAACATGGTTTGGAGATTTGAGAAGGGCTCTTGCTGTTGTAGTTTGACCTCTGCATGGAGGGTGGGCAAGTGAGGGACACAGTCTAGAGTACACTGCTTGCACCTCATTGGTGAGGGGTGATGCTGCCCCACCCACCCTGGGCAAGTACATAAGAGTTTAGCTGTGACTTCAGGAATTGTTTTTCACACAGGTTTTTATAATGAATCTGCTCCTGCAGTTATCTGCCAGCATTGATAGAGTACAGCTCTTCTGCACTGACTACAGTGCAACAGGAGCTGGCAGCCTCCACAAAACACAGCTGTGCCTGCTGATTTCCTCACTGGCCGTAGCGCCTGTGAGTCAGAGCAGAGGTGGAGAAGCAGCAGCAGCTCCACTGTGTGCTCCTCCTCACATGGAACAGTTCTTCCTGCCTGCTCATCCATCCTACTGTCCCACTCCTGCCATGATTTCTCCAGTCAAATTTCAGATGTGCCCGTGGTTCCCTGTAATGATCTGTTTCTTTTTGTTAACTATTCAGTAATGTTTGCAGAATATAAACCAGTTGGGACATCTTGCCCAAGGACGGACATCAGCAATCCAAAGATTCAGAGAAAGCAAAGCTAAAGGATGCTGTCATCACAGTACTTCAAAAGAGCATCCGATGTCTCTCCCTCCTCCTCCTCCACATCCAGAATGTGCAATGAAGTAAGCAAGCACTGTGCAGCCTGAACAGAGTGGCTACAGTTTATGCTATACTGCCTCATCTGTTCTTTGCTCCAGCTGTTCCTGGAAGGAGGTGCCACTGAATTGTTTGTCTCTTCCTCTGATGCTCTGGAAGAAAGACAGAGGGCTTTTTTTTTTAAATCTTGGCTTTTTAGCAAAGGAAACAAGGCTGGATTGTTGTGTACTGGCACTTGCTACCTTCTCGGCCCATGCCCTTCTTGCTGCGCGAGCATGGTACAAGACATGACGTGCTGAAATAATATTTAGTTTTGCAGCTGGCCTCATTACTGCTATTATTTAGAAGGTATAACCAGTCATCAGCATTTCAAAATATATTCAGTTTTCAATAAAGAGGCAATTTCCACAGGGCAATGACCATAAATGAATGACAGTATACTCAAGAACAATGAGCAAATCTGCCAGTCTGTCAAGAATTTGCCTGATGTGTCATCACAATTTAATTAAGGGAAAAAACTTACTGCAAGAGACAGCAGGCCAAGTCAACCCCCTTACAAAGGTACTTCCTTCCTTTGTGCATTAAAAATAATCTCCCTTTGCTTTGAATTACTGATGCACAAGCAGCTTGTGACATATCTTTCTCCAGAACTAAATAGATGGCTGAAAAGTATGAGCCAAATTTGACTCTAGATGATTTTTGGGTCTTTCAAACCCACCTCAGTATATCAGCTGATTGTTTTCCACAAATTCTGTGCCCTGCAGTCACTGAGTCAACCCCAACTACAGGGACTTCTCAGCTCTCTGGAACGTGGCCATGGTAGACACACTTCATTCCCCTGTCCCAGGGGCACTGAGCTGCTGCCCACCAGCACTGCCTTTTCCAGCCTTGCACTGCACCTCTGAAGGCATCCAGCTGGTTGTCAGAGCCTGCCAGGCAACATCCTCCAGCCAAATCCAGTTTCTTCCACTTCTGTAGTTTCAGTGGAAGAGTGAAAAGCTTTCTCAGTCTTTGGAGAACTACTTCATTCTGAAGAAACTTTTCTATCAGAGGTATAGTGTCTCAGCATGTCAAGGGATGCGAGGCAGCTCCACGGACATTGTTTATACCAGCTATGAACCTGTACAGTATTATGTCCAAAATAATCTGTTTTCACTGACTGAATGATCTGAACAATGGCTAAAAGTACAACAAAAAGGTATTCTGTTTAAATCCAAATGTTTCTTCATAGTTCTGGAAATACAGATACAGTAGCACCATGTTTGCAGGGGAGAATGAGAAAGCTAAGATGACTTATTGAAGTTGTGCTGTCTAGAGTATTTGTTTTGTCAAAGATGAGTGAAGTCAGAAGAAACAATAAAAACAGTGCATTTTTCAAGAACATCAATTTCAGGAGAGTAGTTTTCTCCAGCTTAATAATCCCAGATACCACAACACATATAAATAAACTGGGGACTGAAAGCAGTAGTTTTAACCTGGTAATGTTCCACAAGGCAAACACACCTAAGTGCATTTAACTCTTCTCAGAACGGATATCTAAAAGCATTATCCTCCATCATGCTGTCGTCTGTTATCAGGTCCACATGCAGGCCCAGAAAGACTATGCAGTACATGTATAAATATACATACCCGACTTGGGTACAGTCTCGATATGGCAGCACTGAAAATATGCTACAGAAGGATCTTCTGCTGCTGATAAGGACTATTCTAAAATATAAAAGAAAATAAAAGAAATCAAAGACTAAAATTTAAAAATCCCACCACAATAAGCAAAGCAATAGATGTTATCACTGAGGAATTCGTAATCATAAACTTCCATAATGAATGATTCCTCCCTCCTCTTTTTTATCTCACAGGAGTCATGCTATGGTGTCTTTACAGAAGTGCTGAAGCCTGTGCCATAGCAAATAAGCTGTAAACAAGTAGTGCAGTCCCATCCCTTCTGTAGGCTTTCTAGGAAAACTACCTTGAATACATTACTTGGAATCCAGGATAGATGCTTTTCTAGTGAAAGGAGTCCACCCAGAAAGGCATGGGACCATTCTGACAACTCACTACGATGGCTGAAACTAAAGAGACAAATCCAGCAGCATCCCAAGTAATACACACCAACAACTACTGGTGATACACACCACAATTCTGTGGCTGACTTGGAGTCTGCATTTATTGGACAAAGAACTTCTGGCTGCTGGTTGTGACCTTCCTCTGCTAAAGAAAGGACTGCCTTGATTTTCAGCTTCTTGTTTCTGAAATAGACTTCATCCACGAAATCAGGTTAAGTCTGCTCTTGTCATAAGCTTTCGGATCCTTTCACTGTTTTCAAGGCTCCTCCATGAGTCTTCTGTTTTTCCCCATCACCCTCTTTTGGTCTCTGGGAATTATCACTGACCTCAGCAGTGGCACATCTTCCAGTCTTACCTTTAAGATCAGTGTCTAGCCCTGATGACCTGCCAGCCTCTGAGCTCAATAATTACATTAGCCTTCTTGGTTATGATGTTGCATTGATACTCAGGCATGACTGATCTCACAGTACCCTGCCATTTCTCCTGCAGCCCAATGTCTGTCTCAGTCACTGTCAGTGCTGAATTCCTCCTCCTGTAAACATGGCTTGCCTTTATTCCTCAGGAATTCCTTAGGGAGTTAGCTCAAGATTTGTTTATATGAAAGCATACATTATCTGCCTGCAGAGAGCTTATCTCAGAATCCAGGACACTCTTAGAGCAAAGGCCTTGTATTTTTAACCAGTCTCCAAATCTCTGCAACATCTGCAAAGTCACTGTGTGATAGTGTCCTGGTTTCAGCTCTGATAGAGTTCATTTTCTTTAAATCAAATAGCTTGGAGGAACCTATCTGTTACAAAGTCACACTATTGGCTTTAGCCATCAAGCTCTGACATATCAGTAAGCAACATCAAAACCACCTTGAGGTGAAGACCTACTTTCCATAAAACAGCATGGACTGTCCATAGCTACATTACTATACTTTTGGGAGATGCAGATTGGCAAGAAGCCAAGAGAAGCTTGATGAAGATGTAAGATATAAAATGCCAATAAATAACTGATTGTTTATAAATATACCCTCTTTCCTTATTACCTTCAGGATGCTGAGAATTGTACAATTGTGCTGACCCCTCTTCCCTCTAAAGTTGGCCAACAGGTTGCACCATGACAAATTCCTCTAAGTGATGGCAATTTGTGCTATTTTCTGACCTGATTAGTGTTAGAATTTACTGCTGGTTTACCTTTCCAAAAATCTCCACTTGTGGTCAAAATGCTACAACCTACTGCTACGTTGGTTGTCAGGGCTATTGCACTTCCTTGCTCTGCTCTCCAACACTGATTTTTCTCACCTTGTGTCCCACAGATCTGTATGTGAGGATTTCACCTGAATTTTTCATCCTTTGTCCTGCACTGGCCAAAGCTGGACAAGAAACCCTAGGAAGATATTTTGTTCTTTACTATCTGAAAACCAGCATAAGCACCTATAAATCCCATACCAGCTGTTATTAAAACACTGTTTCCTTAAGTGACCAGCTTAGTCATTATTCTTGGAAAAGGTTTAGCTCCCCAAGAGAGCCACTGCACATAATGCTTGGAAAAATGCAGAATGATCGATTTTCCTTCTCTTGGATCATTCTGTTACAGCAATCCTATTTTCTCCCTCAGAGGCATGTTTAAAAGCAAAGGGGTATTTACCCTATAATAAAGGAGGGTTTTTAATAACAAACATGCACACATGTTCAGGAATCTCTCCTGCACCAGATGAAGTATGATTTCATTGTTGTCTGAATGTTGTAATACTGCTGATCTATGGTAAATATCTCAGATCCTGTAAGATGGTCTCATGGTGCAGCAGTAAGTTAAAGAGCAGGGGAGAATAATTTTTCACATTTGAGAACGGCAATCCACAAGCAAAAAAGCCCTGACATATGATTAATTTTGTGCTTGCCACTGCTTATTGCTGAATGGTTGCTACTCACAACAGCTTGCTTGTTCACTGGAAGCCTTGTTTGCTGATGTATGAAACTTGGCACAGATTTCGAGGCTGACATCAGAAAGCATCTTTGAATTCGGAAAACCACAGTACCCACTAAGCATATTACCCCCCTCCCTCTGGTTGCTTCTGGAAATACAGCTCTTCCACCAACGCCCTACACCTCCCTAAAAATACCATTCAACTCCTAATACTTAAAGAAAAACAAACTGGTGCTTCCATGTCCACAAGCAAAGACAACAGTAGGAAGTTACCACAGAACTGTGTGTATCAGAAGGAATCAGACAAGAAAGGAAATAAAAAGCACCAGCCCAGCCTGTATTTTTTTCAGATTTTTTTCCCTTGGGACCCAAGCATTGCCTCTCTTTCCATAAACCAGCGGACCTTCTTTACACAAAGATCTCCCACACAAAGTATGAGAGGAGCCCACGGCCTCCACTGCCAGGATGCCACAAAACCAGAGCTGTTGGAGGAGGTTGATGCAAAACAGCCTTAGGAGCTGGACTGGAAGGAAAGCAGGGAAGGCAGTGGTCAGATGCTCATCAGGGAGGGATAAACCAGCATTTTATGTAGAGGTCAGATGACATGCATGGTAACAAAAATATTCTGAAGGCCTGCAAAGGTGTACTGAGCAGAAAGTCCATAAACTTGTCACAAAGTTTGCTTTGGACAAGAAGGTATGGTGGAAGCCATTGCTGTTCAAGAAAACCGAATTATTGCTTATGGAAGAAAAGCATTTTTCAGCTCTTCAACAAAGGGCATCTACGATCCTGTGCAGCTCTGAATGAGCTCTCTCTGACATCAAAAGCAGGCTGAGAGTGGGTTTATGTGCCCTGATTCCAATTGTCCCACCTAGACATGTTTAGAATCACTTCATGAAAAGCTTTTCAGTCTCTAATTCTCACATTTCACCGAAAAGTTGTACTGATTACTAGGGTTCAGAGCAACCATTATTTTGCAAGAGAGTTCTGACAATGTGCAAAGGTCTAAGACTATAAAAGCTAATCTTCCAACTTCTTTATGAGGTGTATGCTATGAAAAAACTTACTGAGCACAAAGTTCTCAACAGAATCAGTACTTTGCTTGACTTGAAGAATAATGTCTGCTTTCTTCAGCGTCTGTCTAGGTTTCATTGTGTTGCACCAAAAGGCTGTGATCAGGCTATGTGATATACACCATATACACCAATCACATGTGGAATACTGTAGCCTCTTGTCTCATTCCTGGTTGGTTGATATCTGACAGCCAGGGCCCTGCTGCCCAGCACGCAAAGGCAAACACACAAATCACAGATGCTGGCTGGGTAGCAGCTCTCATTTTGGAGTCTCACAAATTCAAGGGCTATTAGAAGGTGGCTGAGGAGAATTATGAACTGTGAGGATGCTGTGAATAGTCAGCCTCTACTGCATGTGTTGCATTTCCACAACTAAAAGGGCAGCAAAAGAGATCTTTCATGATGGTGCTTGGCCTTTATTTAGATGTGTACACTAACAAAATAACTGAGAAAGTAATGGCATGGGGGTGGGAGAGGAATATTGTTTTACTGCTTTTTATATTTGCTTTATATGATAACTATAGAAATGTTCTTGTCCCATTTTCACCATTAACTGTTTGTTCAGCTGGCTCAGGTTGCTGTTTAGGTGGCTTGTTTTTGCTAATCTTCTGTTTCAGGGCTTATGGAGGATATCGCCAATAAACCTGCTGAGTGAAGTGGGTAAAACCACATGCTGGTGACTACCTGTGCTAGTTTGTATGTTATGGTTGACTTGTCTTTGTCTTTGCATGGGAAAGTTTATTTTGTGCTATTTTACAAGATTGCTTTGATAATACAGTCTAGGAAACCTAATTTTCTACCTCCTTTAATAAGCCACATACTACAGATCCAAAGAAACCGGTTTAACCAGTGCACAGAGCTATCAACAGGAAGCTTTACAAGGACTAGCTGATAAGCTCTGGTCTGAGTATAGGTGTTTTTTCTCTGTGCTAAATAGCTGAACTCTTATTTCAATCACAGCTAATCCTGCCTTGCTGCTGGACTGACAAAGGTTGGGCCCAGAGCATCATCACTCCACATGTGTCATCCACAAGGCTGAGAGGGGAAGAGCTCTCAGTGCCGCAGGAAAAGGACACATCACTTTACAGGTTGAGAGCCACAAGTAAGGGCAGTTAACAGGCAGAGGAGCCCTGAGCTATCACCCACACTGCAGTTTTCTTTGCTGTCACACTCACAGTCACAAACCAGTGAAACAATTACATGCTAGCTATTTTAAAGCCCAGTCACCAAATTCACTGTCCCAAAATATATCCAGTGTAGATGTTTTCAAAGCTGGGTTCCTCAAGTTAAGTGAAAGGCTGACATGCTGTGACAGAAGAGTCAGTCAGAGAGCCTGACTTCAGCCTAGCTCAGCGCCTGTGTCCTGCACAACCATGCATGAGCCCCCTGGGACAAGGTTTCAGGCATGGAAAGGAGCCTCAGGAGGGTTTTCTATCCATTGCAATACTTGGGCTTCTCAGTGTCACAGGAAACTGGGGAGGACACAGCTTTAAAGATCTTAAGGTACTCAGAAACACTGTTGATTTTACAATAAACACATAAAGCAGATCCACCTGAATTTCTAGAGGTCCTTTTCATCCAGAATGCCTATTAACTTCAGCGACTGCAACTGCATCCAGACCCCTTAGAAAAACAGAGTCTGGGCTCATCTTAATTATTGTAGACATAGAATTGACACAAAGTGTTAACTTTATATTATATTTTTATATTATATTTTTAGCTAATATCGTTGTGGTTCTACAACCATAGGATGAAAGCTATTTCCAAAACTGTCTCTTGTACCTGTATCTGCATTCTACATAAAGAGATCTTTATTACAATTGTGGAAATATTCTGGAAAACTGTGCCTGCTGATAAAGATAAGAAGTCAGTTGAATAACAGAAGCTTCCTCACTGCTTTCTTAACAAGAAAAATACTCAGTTTTATTGTCAGGCATAATGACTGATCTGTGAATTAAGATAAAATTTTGCATACATGCTACAAATACTTTTTTTACAAAACACGGAGAAAACAGTTTACTAATCAAATATTTATTCATTCTTTTGCAGATAGTATTTCTATCAAGTTTATGCACAGATTTTATACACACAGCTCAGAAATTACTCGTTCTCTGTGCAATTTGTATAATACCTTATAGGTATTTTTTTGCTGTAAGAAATTCCAAGAGCACACATCTACTTATGCACAAAGTGGAATAAAATTAGAGGTCTGCTTTTCAGCATTTGATTCCACATGTGTTTGTTGTAAAGACAATAATCAGCCGCTAGTCAGACAATAGTCAAGTCAATAGTTCTGTGTGTGTCTGATACAAAAGCTGTTTCTAAAATCTCTCAGGGTCACCTTCTGCAACATTTATGTTGATTACTACCTTGTACTGCATTTAACTGTATGTGTGAGAATAAAAGTGAAGAAAATTTTTCGTGATCCAAGTAACACCTACCAGAATTCAATTCATAACACCTGTGGTTCAATGCAGTGTCAGTTTCTACTGACATGGTGCCATATTTGATGGAAGTAAAAGGCTACATGCACAAATCAGTCCACCAGAACATACATGATTCTCAGCCATGGCAGTTTTATGAGAACAGGTATGTGCAAGGGTCAACTCTCCGTGGGCCAGTTTAGTCTACATGCAACCTCTTCAGGTAGCCCAGTTCAAACCTATTCAGGTTTGGAAGAACATGAAGAAAAAAAAATCACACGGCACATGGAGAAACTGTCTTTGGAAAAATCAGAGAGGGTAGGTAGTTTCTTTACAAGGAGGAACTAGTTTTACTTCTGAGCTGGATGATACTGCAATAAAGAATCCATTTTGCTGATGGGAACACCAGGCCTTTGCAGTAAGTGAAGTCCCAGCCAATTCCTGCTGTACAGGTCCCACAGGTGCCTGTGGTTGTAACCTGGGAAGTCCATGTCCCAGCTCGGGGTGTGCTGCAGTCACAGCTGCACCCCTCACACATCCCCTGGAAGACTCTCTGCCTACATCTGCCATGAAAACCAGGATCCCACGCCTCACCTTGCCATGATCATCCTTGGCTGTGCATTTACCAACTGGCACTTTGTATCCACTAATAGATGCAGATGAAGTAGCACTGAACCACTGCTAAACCCGGTTCAGGCAGGTTTGCCCATCTGTGTACCCCTCTCACACTTAGAACCTGGCAACACTCTCAAAGGAATGCAACCAGATTATGCCTAGTTTACTCCAACAGCACCACAGATTTTCCTTTTATGCAGGTTATTTGCATTAAGGAGACACAGGTCTTAAGATCTAAGGGCTATAGCACTTCCATTGACATGTACTTCCCTCGAGGAAGGAGTGTGCCCTGCAGCCTGCACCTTCACAGACTGTGTTAGAGGCCATCAGTATGTGGTGCGTGGCAATGGCACGTTGTGCTCCTGCACAGGGATGCTGATCCTGCCCCTTCCCTCATGCCCCATGGATTGCCTTGCAGAAGCAGCCTTTGCATGCACAGTACCTGCCGTTTCTGGTATCGTGTTGCCGCATGTTCTTGATAAAATGAACCTTCTTAAAGTTCTTTGGTCTGGGTGATCCTGAGAGTGTCCGACATCTGAAAAATAAATCAGTTGCGGGGGGGGAGAAAGAAAAAAATAGAAGTACTCAGTTCCCTGCTGTACAGCCAAGAAGTCTACACAAAAGCAGGAAGGAAAGACGAGACAAATGATTCAAGTCACCCTGTGTTAGGAATCAGCAAGAACAATAAAGACAATAAGTCTGGAAACTAGACAGCTCAAACAAAAAAATATTTAAAATAATAATAAGAAAAGGCACCATTCCCCTCCCTTCATGCAAAAAAAAAAGAAATCATAAAAAAACCTCAGCAAAGTAAAACTTCCTGTAATCTGCCGTGACAGCTTAGCCCAAGCTTCCAGAGGGAAAAAATTAAACTAAGCCAAAACTGGTAAATATGCCATTTTTCCACTCGCATCAACACCCACGCTTTTGTAACCTCCTCAGCTATTGATAAAGGAGTCATTAAGGAAAGTTCTTTCTTGTTTTAATTTTAGAAAGGTTTAAAATCTCCCATTGTCAAGGGTAACTCCTATTTGCTTTTAAATATTACTTTTCATATCCCTGATAGTATGCAAAACAACTGAAAATAAATTATCTCAGGAAAAAAAATAATCTATCTTGAAAACATTAAGCCTTAAATCTATTTTACATCTGAATGCACTTTATAAATTGCAGTTACAGAAAGAAATTGCCAGAGGGAGGAGAGATGAGACAAACAGCAATATCCTCCCCTCCCTCCCCCCCCTTGCCTCTCTCTAATCAGCTGAAACCACAGTGCATGTGAAAGCTTTCACTGTTTCATCTCAGTGTTGTTTTGTTACAAGGCATGGCACGATGGGCAGGCACTGCAGATAACGCAACTCCTGTGCTCCCTGCACAGCCAGGGCTGCTGGACCGAGGCTGCTGCGTCCTCCACGGGAGCTAAGGGACAAGCATCCTCTGCCGTCACACAGGATGAGTACAGCCCCTCCGCATTAAGCTTCCCTAAACTATTTTTCCATCCTCTCCTCTGCATAGGCAGAGTTCAGCAGCTTCTCAAGCCGGAAAAGTCCTTTTGTTGGACTGAAACCATAGACCACTGGTCCCAAGCCACCAGGGACTGCTGGTCCTTCTTGCTGTACCAAAACACCACCACACTGCCCAGGCACACCCCAAGAGGGAGGACCCCATCACTTTGCCTTTTCTGCCTTCCTCCTGTTAGAAAAATCCTTGAGATTCCCTCACACTCTGGTTGCAATTAGTCTTGTTAGCTTCTTCACAGGAAAATACCAGCAAGAGAGACATTCTACCACCAATTCTGCAAATTAGCAAGTAAAAATACTGCCTGGCAAACCATACTTTGTTTATATCTTTTGCCAATTATACATGTTTGAATCACTTACGAGAATGCTTCATAACATGCTGGTAAGCATGCAACAGTAAGCTTTGTAAAAATAATCAAGCCTCGGTAGTAGGCCAATTGGTACAGCCTCTGCTATTAAGTCTTTGCTTGGAGATAGGGAGAGACAGCCAATCTGCATGTGGATAAACAAGGCTATAGGCTAAACAACAATTTAAACCAGCTGAATTACAGGTCCTAAGATAAAGAGTCAGTCAAACTTAGGCTGCCGTCTTGCCGAACAGCTGACCTGGAAGGATTCCATGCACTGGTCGGATTACTGACCAGCCAGTTTCTGAACTGTTAAGCAGTTGCTCCATTTTGCATTACCCTAGAGGATTGCCTAGTGACTAATTACTGCGGTCCCCAGAGAAGTAAGCTGTGGTCTCCCAAATGCAGAAACAAAACCGCACTGAAGCTGCTGATATAATAAGGATGAGGGCAGATTTATTAGTGGGGTAGCAGTCACAAACCTACCAGCCAACATGCAGACAGTAATGCTGGTAACCAAAATAAGATTGCATGTGCCGAGAGAACACACAGTAAAAATCCATAAAAAATAAAAATACTAAAAATACCAGCCTTCAAAAACTCCCTACAGTAAACCATCTGTACTTACTTTTTTAAATGCACCACATATGTTAGGGGCTAGCCATTCATATTAGTGACAATTACACTTTTCTATTAATCAAATCTGACATTTTAATTCCTGACATTTCACTTAAATACTGACTTTTTGTTTAATGACCTAAAGCCAGGGAATGTGTAATTCATATCACCTACAACCTTGCAGGGCATTAGAGGTTTCAACACTTTTACTCACTATGAAGAACATCTTAATGTGAAGCCCCAGCTACTTTTCAACATGGAGAGGGAACAGCAAGTTTGTCCATGCATGTGCTTTACAGATAAGAAGCCAGAGAGAGAGTAAATAAAATGACCTCCGCAATGGGGCATTTTCCTCGATGTCCTCCAGAGTCTCCAGAGAAGATCGCTGGGAGATCAGCCGACGTCTGCAGAGAAAACAGAACACAGAACATCACCACTGATTAGAGGGCACGAGAAAGTCCCCAGAGAGTCTCAGAGAGATTTAGTAAAGGTCACAAACCACCCTTCACTAGCCAAGCCATACCTCTGGATATTAATAAATTTTGTTCCATTCTGCTTATCTTAATCTGTTTGATTCCAACCAGAAGCAAACTTACTCCATACAAGCTTCTACAGCAAAACAGAAGTTGAAACTTCACAACAGCTCCTGCTCAGCTCCTTATCCCTTCCTTCAAGGGTTTAATACCCATCTAACACCATTCCCACATGTGTTGTGGTACAGCTTGCAATGCTACAAATACAGTGCTTTGATAAAATAATGCAGATGTAGATCTACGGAGACTGCCTGTCATTCGCACTGCCCCACTTCTCTTTGCCCCTTGCCCATTTTACCAAATAAATGCCACTTGTTTCTCAGTGATGTTAATCTCATCACTCCTGTGAGGAGTGCCTGAAGAAAGATGGAAGATGACAGTGCTGGCAGCACTGAGCACAAACCAGCAGTTTAGAAGAAAGCTCTGACCATCCTTGTGAGCAGCACAGGTGAGTTTAGTTCTGTTTTAAACCATTTTCCTATGGCTGAGTCAGATCCTTCCTCTACCTTCAGTGAATTGAAGTATGGAAATCCTAGCATTACAAGTTTTCCAACTGTTCTAGCAGGCAGGGAAGAAGCCCCAGTACAGGCCTGGTTTAGTAGCGATTGCTGCTCCACAACCTCCAAACACCCTGACAGCAGCACAAACCAAGGAACTGCACCCAGCCCTCCAAAAAACACTGTAAATACCAAAAATGAATGTGTAAGGTACAGCCCAGCTGCAGACACATAATGAAAAATTAAGCTGGCAATCATGAAAACGTCAATGGGCATTAAAGAGCTGCAACAGCCAGCAGTGCCAGGGCAGTGTGCCCCAGCACCCGGCTGGCAGGAGGACTGCCAGCACCCATTGCTCCCAGGGGCCACTGCTGAGGCATAGAGCACCTCTCCAGTGATTTAATGAGTATGAACTTAAATGATAAAAATATTCATAGACTACCATTATTTTTTTCCCAATTCCCACTGAGCTGCCTTACTCCCTTGATCTGCAAGCAAAGAGTTTCCAGAGCGTTATGAGCTCTCCTATGCTTGGAAGCATGCTCATTAATTTATTCCTGGGCTGTATTTTCACAATAAATTGTTTCCTCTGATGCCAGTGTAAGCAGTTTCTAATCCTTCTTGCAATTCCCTTGCCCCTTCAGTTGTGCTGCTACAACTGTTCCTGCAGCCGTGCTGCAAATCTGATTACCAAAATGTTTTTCAGTTCAAAATAACCCTGAGGTTCAGCGATTGATTCAGTTTGCTATTAATTCAAACACTAGATTTCTATCAGTAAGCCCTAGACAACAGATTTCAGGACAATTTGAATGTGTATGTGGCTTCTTGTGTACATAGAAAATCATTAAAAAAAAAAAATCTCAAACAACTTATAGATCAACCAAGTGTGAAGCTTAATCCTCTTAGGAAAATATGCAAACCTAAATCCTCTCAGGCTTTGTCTAAACTAGGATTTTAGGAGATCTGGTGCAAGATAGGATACACCTTCAAAATGCTAAGAAAAAATAAAATCTGCATTTCATAGACAAGCAAGAAGAGACCAAACATTTGCCTTCTGCACCTATGGGCACTCCCTTGGCTCCATCCACAGTCAGAGAGGACACAAGAATGCTCTTATAGGGAGAAATTTAGAGCAGGAGTAGCTCCTGTTCCATTTTCAGTTTCACTGATCCATAAGCAAAAGTTGGAAGTTTCAGCTACCAGCACTACTGATGCAGCAGATGATAGCTGTTGGCTTTTTAATACCTCTTTATACGTCATTAGCTTAATAACACAAATAATGGCACTCTCCCATCTTGTGGTGTTACAATACCAAAAGCATACTTGGCATGTTGTTAGTCAAAGAGAGATAAACAACAGTACAACCTTGCCACCTTCTTCTTATTAAATTTATCAAATTAGTCACGCTGTATTTTCTCTAGATGCCTCTGAGATGCCAGGCGCTTATACAACACCAGATGCATATTCCAGATGACACTATAACCCTCTTCCAAGCCTCTTCTCGCCCAAAGTTATGCCCCATCCTCAATTTCATTGCCAATGACTTGGCAGACATGCACCTGAAGATCCTACATTTGCGTCTGTCATTAAGGCAGACGTGCTGGTTGGCAGAAACAGACACAACTGTATTTCATCAATTGGTCGTCCAGTTGCCTCCTGACTGTTAAGATTCGTCCGGCTTCCCTCTCTGGTCTTAAATTCTCAAATCCAGTACCGGGGATGCTGCCTCCTGATTTTTGCTTGCTGACCTCAAATGCAACACAGCCCAGATGGAAACCACTACCACCCCCCTTGGTACAAAAGATGTCACACTGATATTCACTGGTGGTGATTTTGCAGTATTTTGGGTATCTAACATGGCAAGTGAATCTGCACAAAGGAGGGGGGGAAGTTCTTTGTTCACCCAAGCTTGGGAGAGGAGCACTGATACCTGAGCTCCCTCTCAACTAGTGCATAACACAAGCATAACTTCGAATAAATTTATCCAGGAAGGAAGGAAGGAAGCAAGCAGATAGTCCCCCCCAAATCAGCGAAGAAGGATGGGTCACACAGAAGCCTGCAGTGATATAAATGGGGACTGACCAGCCAAATCCCCTCCCTGTACTGGCATAGGCAGCAGTGAGACCAAGGATATCCAGCCCAGCATCCAACACAGCTGAAAACTGCCACGTCTTTCAACTCACCCCAGATTTATTAGTTTTAATCAGTTCGGCTCCCTGTACTGTCAAAGAAGCACCAAAGAGGAGGATTTGAAGCAACTCTGTTGAAATCAGTTCATACTGTCTGGGAATCACTCCCTCTTTTCACTGAAGAAGCTCAGCCGCAATGAAGTATGTGCAATTATTCCAGTTTATCTTAAATCTTTACTTCAAGGCCTAATTAAGATGACCTAAATACCAATATTTTATAAGCTTTCCACAGCTGGATATTATACCAGAAATGCCAACTAACGAAGCTACCTGCTGTGAACCAAGTCACATCCTGTGCCACACACAAAGGAAAAATAAAAGTTTGGAAAGCTTTGGAAAGCAAAGCTTTTGAAAGGGTCTTCCAGGGAATACAAGGAAAATAATTTTTTCATTGACTTCATTAAGAATTAATCATCTCAACTGGTGTTTAATATTTAAATTAATCATCTTTCTTTCTTCAGGCAAGCACCCAGGGTTTGTCTATACAACTTCTAAAAGGGTTACTTTTCAAAAATTGATTAACATGCTATAGCAGCTGGTATATGCAGACACTTGCACTGAAATAACCCCAAACTATTTTATATTACATATCAACATCATTCTGATGTAAAGCTATGTTAACACCTGTTTTATATCAAAAAATGTCCTATTTCAATAATAACTAGGGGAAAATCCTCCTGTTGTTGAGGAAGAGCATGTGCAGAACAATTCAAAATAGCACAGTGTGACTCATGCAGGATTCAGGCTTTGGGCAGTCTTTAAACAGATGCAATTTCAATATAAAATGCTTTAAAACTTGTGTAGAGTGTCAGCCAGCTAGCACACTAAAATACAATTGCTCTTAATAACCAAATTAAAGATGTTTCAATAAAAATTTTTTCCTAGTTCAAGGAAAGCCTTAAAAAATTTCTCCTAGTTTAACCACCACATTCCAGGTATACCAAACTCACACCTCTCTCCCCCCAGTCTCATGCACACAGAAAAAAGTAGTTCAGCACTGGAAAGATGATGACCTCCTAATTCTAATGATCAGCCCCTGTAGGACAATGATGGTCCCAATGAAGGTCACAGACAATTTTTTGTTTAAAAACCATGTAATATCATGTTCCCTTAAAAACCTATCTAAAATAGTTTTCGTCTGTTTCCTTGCTGTTGTTCCCGGTGCATGAGCCCAGAAATAACAACTACCCTACCATCAAATTCCAAGTCCAGTCCAAAGAAAGAAACTAAAGAGATATTTGATGCCCTGGTGTTTTAAATGGCACACTCTGTGGATGCTGACCTTGGGCTTTTGTATCAAAAGACCCTAGAGAATCAGGGCCTGTTTCTTAGTTACCTTTTAATTAAGATATTCATGACCCTGTTTGCATACTGGATTTATCTTTGACCAGCTGTCTGAATCTCTGTAGAAGTTTCTTAAAAGCTAAAATGTGGTCTTCATTTCCCCTCTCCAAAGTCAGATTAATATGTGGCTCAGTTGCAAAACTGAAATAAAATACAAGGGCAAAAAAAAATAAAATAATTACAAGGACAAATAAAATACAGCAGGTCTGCAACCAAAACAGCCAACAGCCAAAGCAAGTAAACTGCAAAAATATTCATCGTAACTACCCCATCAATCAGTGGAAAATTATCTTCACTGTCAATTGCTGCAAAATACTCAACTCAATTATGTTAAACATACAAAATCTTAAAGCCATATAGACAGGAGGTGATAAAAAAAAAGGAGCTGCAATCAGAACACTGGATAAACTCATCCAGGAAGGAAGGAAGCCAATGATAATCCAAGAGATAAGGAAAAATAAATCCATGTGTAATGACTTTCTAGCACAGCTACAAAATCAGGAGGAAAAAGCTGCATTTTAAATACACCTCATTTCTGCGAAAGTGGGGGTGTATTTTCTCCCCTGCTTCTACAAAGATTACAAACCTACAACAGACAAAGCCAGTAATGTGGGTGCTGCTGGCTCCCAGAAAAAATACATCCCTGCGGGCCAAGCTTCTTCACTTTGTCTGGGACAAATGCATCCCTTCAGAGATGCAGTGATGATGGGACACATCATCTGAACACCTGCTGGCTGCATTTACACTGATGGGAGAACTTGGGAGGATAAAACAGCTGAAGACTGTTGGCAGCTCACATGTCCACTGGGTCACCTCCTCCCTTCCAGTGGCCAGGGAGAAT